GTGTACGTAAGATGAACCAGAGATGAGGTTTAAAACATTCTAAGAAACCAGTTAGGCATTAAGTAACGGTGCTGCGGAAACCATCTCACGTCCCCCTTGGACGCGCCGTGCTCTGGTTCCTCATTCTCTGTCCCTACGTGAGCATCTCCAGAGTTTGGCAACATTCACCAAGCAAAATAAATTCTGATTTCTCATCACCTTTCAGTCAAACCTCCTTGGGTGGTCTCCAGAGTGGAGCAGAGTAAACACCAGAAGGTGAGTATCTGTGATTCCTACAGACAAAAACACCTTCCTCGTGGAGCCACACTCAGGTAGGAGCAGAAGGATGTATGTCAGAGCCCAGGGCTGCTGCCTCCCTCCTCCTGATCGATCCCTCCTGTGCGCAGCCTGACACATCACCGTCTTCACAGTAACGACAGCAACAGTAACAGCTGCCACTTGTTTGTTTTCTTTGCACAGTATTCCTGAGTTTATTTTAAGGCGTTTACATGAATAAACTCACTTAAATCTTATCGCTTAATAGATAACTTAAGAACATAGGATGAAGCAGAGATGAAATTTTATCTATATTTTTAACATTTTAGGAAAGTGATTAGTTGACTCCCCAACAGAAGCATAAAAAAAAAGTTGCCATTGAGTCTATTCCAACTCATCGCAACCTGCGTGTCAAGAGGAGAACTGTGCTCCATGAGGCTTTCAGTGGTTGTGACCTCTCAGCAGTAGCTTACCAGGCCTTTCTTCCAAGCACATCTGGATGGATTCCAACCTCCATCCTTTTTGCTCGTAGCCGAGAGCTTAACTGTTTGTGCCACCCCGGGGACTGCAAATAGAAAAACAGTTACCACTGAGTCTATTCCGATTCGTGGTGAGCCCATGTGCGTCAGAGTAGAGCTGTGCTCCGTGAGGTTTTCCATGCCTGTCACCTTTCAGAAGTAGATTGCCAGGCCTTTCTTCTGAGGTGCCCCTGGGTGGATTTGAACCTCCAGCCTTTCAGTTCATAGCTGAGTGCCTAACTGTTTGTGCTGCCCAGGGACTCCAGACTAGATGCATAGGATTTAATTAATGATACTGCAGAAATCATTTTCAAATCACCCTTGGTCCAAACAAGCCTATGAGGTGGGTACTTTGCTGACTGCTGCTTTATAGATGAGGAAACTGAGGTGCAGGCGTGTTCGATTACACACCCGACATCACAGTATCGGTGGGGGTAGAGTCTAATCCAAAACACTTACTTGCTCATTAAAATTGGCACATATTCGCGAAGTTCAGGCTTTCTTCTCTGAGGCCCAGGTGATGATTCAAACCTCAGACCTTCTCTGCTGTGTGCTAAGGTGGTTGCCGCTCTAAGACCCTGGCTAAGGGAAGCTTACTTCTACCTGGCTTCCTTGTCATTCCATCACGTGTAAATATAAGAGCGGTTGGTAGAGTGGATGGGCCCCACCCTCAGGGGTTCCCACTTTAGAAGAGGAAGCAGCTCCCAGCCCTGAGGAGCCTCAGGTTGATGACCGAGAAAAAGAGTAAGACAATGACTGAAGGATTTCTGCCAGATACACAGTATTCAGTCTTCTGGAACTGATTTCAAATGCTCATTCCTGTAGGAGGAAGTAACAGCTGTCCTCTGGGCTCTGATTAAGCGCATCTCGTGTGGTTTGAATCGTCTGCTTAGCTGGCCTCTCTGCATGAGGGCTGTTTGGGAGCCTGCTCCTTACCTGATTTGTCTCAGAAGGCCCAGGCCCAGCTTGGGCCCCTGAGAGACACCTGAATGTTTTCAATATTTTTATTTTATATTTAATTCGCTATTTTATTTTATTCCATATTTAATTTAATTAATATTTAATATACTGTAGTTTTATTTGTTTTTGTTTTATTTAAAATGATTTTATTTTATATTAAATCTAACTTAATATTATTAATTTTGTTTAATATAATATTTTGACATTTTATTGTATTTTATACATTTTGTTTGATACTTTTAAAATTTCATATAATGTTTTATTTGGTATTTGATATAATTGCATATTTAATGAATGGACAGTGAATAAGGGAGACTGAAGAAGAATTGATGCCTTTGCATTATGATGTTGGCAAAGAATATTGAATATACCATGGACTGCCAGAAGAGTGAACAAATTTGTCTTGGAAGAAGTACAGCCAGAATGCTCCTTAGAAGCAAAGATGGCGAGATTTTGTCTCAGTTACTTTGGACATGTTATCAGGAGGGACTAGTCCCTGGAGAAGGACATCATGCCTAGTAAAGTAGAGGGTCAGGGAAAAAGAGAAAGATGGTTGATGAGATGGACTGACACAGTGGCTGTAGCAATGGGCTCAAGTATAACAACTATTCTGATGATGGCTCAGGCCGGGAGTGTTTCTTTCTGTTGTACATGGGGTCGCTATGACTCGGAAGGGACTTGATGGCACCTAACAACAAGTTTTTATCTAATACCTAATTTATTCTAATATTATTTAATTATATTTAATATTTCAAATATTGTTTTATTGAAATTAATTTTATTAATATGAATTTAATTGTTTTATTT